AATCAAATTAATTCAAGTTATATCTCTGAAAATTAAAAAGAAGAACCAAGTTGTTGTTTTCACAACAACACACAACTCAAAATCCCTGCACTTTACTCATTTACTTATTCAAAGTCATCTACTCGCGGACTAAATTAAACAACGTTTTCCTGTGGATTCGACCCGGTATTTTACCGGAATTTATTACTATATCGGCACTTGTACACTTGCAAGTTCAGCCCGATCAGGTTCATGTGAAGATCAATACATAAACATGGGGTTGGCTGCTCAAAAATGAAGATGATCACTTAATTCAGGCTCATATGGATTTAGAATGAGCAACCTGGAAAACACAAGAGATAGAAGCATGGGGTGCAAGAAGGGGTAAGCTAGTTCAAGGAACAAGGCTGATCAAAGGTTATAGTTGCGCTTGTTACTGCCTTAGTGGTGGTCAACATATCAGAGGAGTCTGCCTCATCTTAGGGTGCTATCATTATAGATGTCCCATGGAAGTTTTTAGTTTAGTATCACTTTGGGTAGTCATTCTCAGAATCGTGTCGCTCATGCTCTAGTAACATTTCCACATGAGCCCACAAGGATAGCTATTCAGATCTATCAGACTTTGTGGCAATCCAATGGACTAACATTGTTTGGAGTTTGGATTAATTCAAGGTGATCAATTTTTTTATTTAAAGAATGTGTGGTGATGTGATTATATGTGATTGTCGGTAGCGGCACTAACAAAAGTGCACCTTCTTTTAAAAAGCTTATATACTAATTAAGAATTATGCAGCTGGACATGCTTGTACAAGAGTAGATTTAAGATGAGTGACCCCCTAGGAAGTTTCTTAGGACACATACGAGTGAGGATAAAGTGCGCGGTAAAAGCTCGTGTTAGTTTGTGAGGGCAGTATTAGGTTTGAAGAGCATGTAGGAGTAATGGTCTTAGATATTGTGAGGTCGAGGTGTTACACAGTATTTGTTGGCAGCATTGATTGATGGCAACTATGATAGTAACGATTAACAATGGCATAGACTGAGAGAGAGAGAGACGTATGGGTGAGCGTTGATGGCAACAATGGGATATTATTGTTAACATTAAGAGAAAAATGTATTCTATTTTTTAGAGAAATGTAAAATATATACGATTCTTTATCGAGAAATTATCATGAGTAGGACTCCTAGTAGTCCATAACATAACATGACATAACATGGCATGACATGACATGACATGACATGACATGACATGACATGACATGACATGACATGACATGACATGACATGACATGACATGACATGACATGACATGACATGACATGACATGACATGACATGACATGACATGACATGACATGACATGACATGACATGACATGACATGACATGACATGACATGACATGACATGACATGACATGACATGACATGACATAACATAACATAACATAACATAACATAACATAATATAATATAATATAATATAATATAATATAATATAATATAATATAGTACAATATAGTACTCCCTCCGTCCGTAAATAAACTTCCAACTTTCCTTTTTTGTCCGTCCCAATTAAAACTTGCACTTTCCCTTTTTGGTCAGAATGTGTGGTTCACAACAATTCTTACACATTTCTCTCTCCTCTGCACAATTCTCCACCACACAATACCCACTATCTTAAACTGTGTGCCAAACCTATTTGGAAGTTTAATAAGGGACGGAGGGAGTACAATATAGTATTAGACAAAATTAATGACAAAATGGAATAAGGATTGCTTCCGGGTAATCGGATTTCGGGCTGATGAAGCTTAATCACCTGAAAATTATTTTATTGAGCAATGTTGGTCAATACTAGTACTAGGTTCTCACGGAGGGAGTACAATATAGTATTAGACAAAATTAATGACAAAATGGAATAAGGATTGCTTCCGGGTAATCGGATTTCGGGCTGATGAAGCTTAATCACCTGAAAATTATTTTATTGAGCAATGTTGGTCAATACTAGTACTAGGTTCTCACCGCCCTCAGGGCATAGATAACAATAATTTAGGTAACGAGACTGATCTCTAATGCGACAAGTTACTAAATTATTGCCAAAACTAACGAGCGCAGAACTCCCTAATTGTTATTAATCTCTTAGCGAATGATTAAGTGTGTGTGAAAGTGTCCTACAATAAATTAGATCTCTTTTAATTTCTTTTATGTGCAATTATAATCATATCCTAGCCTCCCAGGTGCAATTCTAGGTTACAAAAGATATCAATTAAATTATTCAAACACAAATTAAATAAAGATCATGTAACTAAACCATCAAGAACTCAACCCTAGATGATGAGTAATCTCATCACGAATCCCAAATTCATAATTAAAACTACTCACAATTCATAATTAACAGATCAATAGAATTGAGAAGAAAATAATTAAGTCTCATTAATTAAAATAAATGGAACTAGAAATAATCTCACGGTCTTGAATATCAAAGTGGAAAACTAGTCAAAATTTCGTCCTTGGCCTCTCTATACGCTCCGTAACCGAAAATAGGGGATTGCATGTTGTATATATATGAAGCATATTGCATGTTGAATATATAGGAAATATATGGGGCAGGTCCGCCCCGCCCACACAATGGGGCGGGTCCAGGTATTATTATTTACCCTTGCCGCCCCGTCCCGCCCTGCACAATATATAAGTATAAATATTTTTTTAATTATACTACAAATATACTTCTACAGAGGACTGCTCAGGTCCAGCCGGAGGGACGGGAGAAGCCGTCCGAACTTTACTGTTTGGGGCGGTTCCCGGTGGAATTTTTCGATGAATTGTTTTGAGCATGTTCCTCATCAAGTCTAGTTTGTCCATACCAAATTTCAGTTCAAAATTCGACCGGGAAGGCAGTCAAATAAATTCTTGAAACTTACTGCACTTTATATATGCGCAGAAAACTTACTGCACTTTATATATTCTCGAATTTTGAGCTGAAATTTGGTATGGACAAACTAGACTTGATGAGGAACATGCTCAAAAAATTTCATCGAAAACTTCCACCGGGAACCGCCCCAAACAGTGAAGTTCGGACGGCTGCTCCCGTCCCTCCGGCTGGACTTGAGCATTTCTGTACTTCTACATACATATGCGTGTATATAATAAATCGTAAATTCTTTGCTCTTATAATGTATTAATATTTATATTTGAATGAGATGAACAACGAATTATCAATGTCTTTTTATATATACATTTTAATTTGTATATTCTATTATTAATATAAATAGATTAACTATTCAAGTCTAAGTACTTTTTTCTTAATTTTGAAATTTTTAGCCTATTGTGACTTTGATTTAATATATTATTTTTTAAATAATTATTTAGAGATAGAATTTATGTAGATTCAAGTGGTAACAACTTCACACAAATAGAAATGCATACTAGCTAATTATGTTACGGAGGAGCGGGGCATGAGTCAACAAGTTTGGACCCGTGCGGGTCACGGGGCGGGTCTTTGTCTTGTAGTACCCGCCCTGCCCCGACCCATTGCCATGCCTAGTGACAGCATTGGACCGACAACGGTATTGGTCACTGTGACAGTGTGACTGGCGGTGATCATTAACGATTTTTTGTCATTGTGGCGTTACGGTAGCACTAGAGAGGTGAGATTATATTATTAAAGGTGTAATAGTCTTTCAACCACTTTTTAATCATATTTTTGGAAATTAAAAAATGATACTTTTGTCCATCACTCATTTTCTAGTGATATTTTTACGAACCCCCATTTTACATTTGGCTAGTGAGCAATAGCGAGTGAGTGACCATTTTAATCAAAATTCTTCAAAGCATTGGTTGGTTTGCATCGGATGCCTTGTGTTTTGTTTATCTAAAGATTGTTTTTTCTTTTTTTTTTTTAGGTAACCCCGATTTCACTGGACTAATTCTAAACTTCCAAAAAGACCACCTCAAATCTTTGAGAAATGTAAATCCGAATCATTTTAATAATCCGCTAGGCTCCCACTGCCATTATACACACCAGTACACTGTTGTGCACAAGAATTCGCTCTTAACGGATTGATTGGGTGTTTCCTCAGATTCTCACCACAACTTACAAAGAACCCCTAGTTGGTCAGACGACTCAGACACCGTCGAATTCTAAGCAGGAAGCTAATTGTACGAGTGTATGACTATTGCTTGAGGCGGATCAAACAATTATTACACGACCCAATGAGGAGAAACTGAATATGCTAATCATCACAATTTGTTGTAATAGGAATCTATATTCAACAAGTGTAATAACATATTCATTTTACTGTAATTAAAGTTATTGTATCACTTTAAGCAAATGACTTTTCCTTTAAATTCCTAAAATCTCCTTTTTAAGATTAAGAGGCTGTTTGGCAACACTGTTTTTCGGTTTATCAGGCTTATCAACAAACTTTTTCACCAAACACATAACTTTTGTTTCACGCGCTGAATTTGTAATAAGCAGAAAAAGTAAGGTTGAAGTTACTTTTCTGGTTGTATTGGCTGAAGTTACTGTAGATGAACATTTTAGCTATTTGTATACATTATTTTTTCTTTATTTTATTAAAAAAATATATTTTAAAAATTATTTTTTCTTAAATTAGCAAAATTAGCCAATGCAGCCAGAACTTCATAAATTTCAGCAAAATCAGCCAAATCAGCCGATTTTCGTGCTACCAAACGGGCTCTAAATGTTACTAATGAGTAAAGTGTTTTGACACTTTCACACAATTGAACACACATATTCCTTTATCGTTATTAAGGTTATTGTATCATACTCTCTGTCCCTACTCCCTATTTAAACTTCCCAAGTTTGAATATCACACATTTCAAGAAAATAATTTTTTGCAATTGAATTTCTGAAACCTGCTTTTTGCTGTGATAAAATGTTATTGTAGAATTCATTGTTTTCATGCTATTTAACACTAATTAACATTGTACAATCATTATATTTGGGGGCAATAGAGTAAATAGATAGAAATTTTGTTTAACAAATATGAAAAGAGAATTTATTTAGGGACATTCAAAATAGAAAAAAGTGAATTAACGGTCAAGGATCGAGGAAGTATTACATACTTTTTGTATCAAATAACATGAAAATGTAAAACTTGAAACATAGATGATACCACCATAAAATCATTACCCCAATGCCACAAAGACTAGTAAACTAGTAATTGTGTTAATAACACCAATTCTCGCATAGATTTTTAAACTTGAACCCAATCAAATATTGGATTAATATACAATAAGAAATGAACTCTATTTTATTTTACAAGATGACATACATTGCAATGGGCAATGGCTGGCTAACACGGAAACCAGCGTTCACAACAAGATGTCATCAGAGGCTTCAAACCAGCATGAGTGAAATAAACATATCACATATGTGATCAAAAGCAAGCAAATACTGCGCGTTTGATATAAATACAGAAGACATCACTATTCATGCTTGTACATTATAAAAATTGATCAATTGAAAAAGTTCAGCTCAAGCTTCATCCATGTGGTCCTGCATCAACCATAGAGATTGTTAATTTCACTTCCAATTGCAATTACTGGGATTCATACTAAAAGCCTCTATTCCAGGCTTCCCTTGACAGTCTACTTTTTCATTTTTGAACTAACAAAATGTATTGGTAGAAAAGAACTACTACAAAGTGTGCAAAATGCTGATGGAAAATGCAATCGAGAATCAAACACAAGTAGTTAATTAAGGCACATTTGGTAATGCTTATGGAGCCTCAATGACTTGCCTGCATATCTGAAGTCCATAGGGTGAGGTTATCCCGCAACAATTGCATGATAAGAGTGCTGTCCTTGTAAGACTCCTCACCCAATGTGTCTAGCTCAGCAATAGCTTCCTCAAATGCCTATAAAGAAGAAAGTACATTAGGTCCTCAAATGATATGATATGAAGTCATCGCAGCTTTAAAAACATTTTAGAGCAAGGGATGAAAACCTGTTTAGCCATACTACAAGCTTTTTCTGATGTATTCAAAATCTCATAGTAGAATACTGAGAAGTTGAGTGCCAATCCCAATCGTATAGGATGTGTAGGCGCTAGATGTGCAACTGCAATCTCCTGTGTATTACAAAAATAAGTTCTTAATTTAATTGAAAGGAGAAAACATTTAATGGGTAGCAGCTTGGATATGAAATAGATGTGTTTCCTGGATACAGTGAAAATGGATGAAACCTAGAACAAACTAAAGTACTAAACTTCAGTTTGGTATAAGAAAACAAGTGCCACAAAGGCTCCCACCTACGGTGGGGTAAGGGGGGGTCGGATGTACGCAGTCGTACCCCTGTACTAAAGCACAGAGAGACTGTTTCCGGATGACCCATAATGAAAATCACGTCCAAAATTGCATGGACTGACTGCTGCTTCATAACGAAGAAGAGCAGACAGTTTGGTGAGCCATTTTGCTTTATTCCATCATATTCTCAAGCCAAAAAATAATGAATCTTTGGCTCCATTGCAAATGATGGAAATATTTTGTGATCAAACTCATTTTATGAACAAACTCATTTTATTTATTTATATGTAATTTATAAATGATAAAGTAAGATCAAACTCATTTTCTTTTGGGACTAAGGATGTTTTTACATGGACTGTATTTCAATCCCAGATCAGACCAAACTTGGGCAGTTATAAAATACACAAAGACCAAACATTTACCAGACCAGACCAAACCTGATCATACCATAAAATTTCAATCCAACTAAAAACTTCCTAAGGCTTGAATGTTGATGTTGTTGATATGTACTCCCTCCGTCCCCGAAAGAAGTTTCTCATTTGACTTTCACACACTTTTATGCAAGTAAACTTACCAGGGGATAAATTTTATTGTTTTGACATTGTTTCGACACTGTTTGACACTGTTTGACACTGTTTTGCACTGTTTGGCACTGTTTTGCCGTAGATAACTTTCCATTTAAGGAAATGGGAACTTAAATTAGGGACATCCAAATAAGGAAAGTGGGAACTTCTTTCGGAGACGGAGGGAGTAATTTATAAAGAATTAAATCCAAATACATGTCCGAGTTTTACCAATTAATCAATAATCATGCATCAATTGCTTTTAATTTTTCAACACTAAACTAAATTTAAAAAATTCACTTCATTTTGCTTTTTTTCTTTTCCTAGCAACTTCCTTGATCCAAGAACATAGTCACATAGTTCGTGGAACAATTCGGCACAGGAACGCGGTTCGCTAGGTCTAGCGTATCCGATTCGGGGGGGGTAGGTTCTTTTCGGTACGGTGTACCTTACCTTCGGTACATAGTACCTTATGTTTTGGTACAAGAATAAAACATAATTACATATTTCATAGCATTAAGTAAAAACATACTATCGTATTTCATAACATACTTTCATAACAATAAACAAAATAAAAAACATTAATATTATACGAAGTAGAAACTATTGACTCAAAAGTAGAGTGTTTGGACTTCGTATAAATTAGAGCATTTTAACTTTATTTATAAAATACTCCGTAGAACATTTAAACGAAGAGGCTGGATGCAAAATCGTACACCTGTACAAGCCACTGGAAACGAAGCGCTTGTAAAGTTGGAAATTGTGCGTTTGATACGAAACGACAAGTCAGAGCCAAAACGGTGTCGCTGGGGAACGACTTGCAAACCATTTCCGATCGAACAGAAAAACGACTATGATCGATTTGCACAGCGATTGGGATCGATTCGCACAGCGATTAGGATCCACCAGCCAAGCGTACCGCATGTCGTTCCCTGTAGCGACTGGATCGCTTTCGTACCGCGATTGGGTACGGAACGATCAGTTCGCAGATCGCGGCTCTTCTAGCGATCTATGTAAACTCTCTGGTTTGAATAGATTAGGAAGAACTGGCTGTTTGTTTCTTTCCTGAAGTCATACCATCTTTGTTTGTTAAGCACCTAAGCGCAATAAAAATCTCGAGGTTTAACCATATAATCCAATCTTCATTTCTAATCCCTTTCAGATATTTGACTCAGAGCATATGTCACTTGTGAGTTGTGAAGTTATAAGATCCATCAGATGAACTGAAATTTGTTGCCCATTATTAGTCTTATCAATCATCTAATGTTTAAAATAATGTTTGTAGAAAGGCTGTTCTGGCTCATCCCAGCAAGAAATCCACCTTTATTCTTCCATAAAAACTTCGAAGTCAAAGAAAGTCAGCAGCTTTCACTTTTAGAGATTCACTTCACCCTTAACTTTATCTTGTTCAAATCCCAAAATTTCACAAGCGATTTCTCATTTAAGCCTCTCGTTAAATGGAGTATAAAAGAAGATCCTGAATTCCAGAAACATAAAATAGACATAGAAGTATAACCTGGGCAGCTTTATAGGCAAGCATAGTGTCCTCCGCGGCTTCTTTCCGCTCATCACCAGCCCTGAATTCGGCCAGATAACGATGGTAATCGCCCTTCATCTTCAAGTAGAAAACCTTGGAGTCTGAAGAGGAAGCAGAGGGGATTAAATAGTGTTCGAGGAGTTTGAGGATTCCGGCGCAAACGGCCGAGAGCTCGGACTCAACCTTGGATCTGTAGAGCTTGATGAGGATGACGTGGTCATCGTTCTTGCGCGACTCCTCCCTCTGCTCGATCGACGAAACGATTCGCCAGGCCGCACGGAGAGATCCGATGACGTTCTTGTAAGCCACCGACAGAAGGTTGCGCTCCTCCACGGTCAGCTCGGAGCCTGACGTGGCGGTGGCGACGACTAGGTTGTCCATGAACTTCACCATCTCCTCGTAACGCTCTGCTTGCTCTGCTAGCTTGGCCATGTACACGCTCTGCTCCCGTCTAAGATTTCCTGGCGCCGCCATGGCCATCGTATTCGCCGCCGTTTTCCGTCTAATGAAAGTAGTAGAGTATCAAGAAGCGGAAGAAGATTTCATTTTGTGGACTCAAAGTAAAGGGATGAATAGACGAGATTCTAAGTTCTAACGACGCTCCGTGGGCCGCCCCACGTTACGACGGACCCACGGTGGGGCAGGGCAGAGTCACATTCCGCCATGCCTTATTTTAGGGGTGGACAAAAATACCGAACCGGCATGGTATTGAACCGAATTGATGTGGTACCGGACCGAAAAACGGGGTTTGAAACGGATCTCAATTTTTTTGTCCTGAACCGAACCGTACTGATTCTAAACAATGCCATGACCGGTTCTCATAAAATGAGAACCGAAACCGGACCGAACCGGACCAAAGTATGATTTAATTATTTAAATTTACATTTATACCATTATTTTGACTAGTACCTTTATATTTTCACCGTCTTTGCTAGTTCAAAGGAAGCCTGAAATCGGACCGATGTATGGTTTAATCATTTAAATTTGTACCACTATAATTTATCTGAAATTTATTAATTATGTAATACTACCTTCGTCTCAAATTGATTTGCAAAATTAACTTTTTTTTGTCAAACAAATTCATTTTATTCACTTAACTAGAATGTCAATTCTTAATTATATTTAATTTGGAGCTTGCAACTTTGAGGAAATTTCAATGTAGTTTCTGAATATGTTTATTTTAATTATTACAAATTGAATTAATTATCAATGAAGAGAATTTAACTCTAACATTGGTTGACCAAAAAATATTGACTTTGCATGTCAATTTGGGATGGAATGAGTATGAAAATTGATAAATTGTGTAGATTTTTGGAGGACGACTAAACTTTAATTGTCTCTTAAACACTTGGAAAAAGTGGCATTGTTTGGTATTGGTATGGCATGGTACCGTCCCGTTTCAAAATGAAACCGTACCGAACGGGTTTAGCTCTAAGACCGAACCGAACCGAATCGTTTGAATAGTAACGGTACGGGTACGGGTTCGGCCAAATATTGGACCGGACCGGACCGCGCCCACCCCTACCTTATTTCGTGGACTCAACTAGGTTTCTTAAAAGGAAATTTCTTGGTGTACACATCAGTACACCCCATTGTCTGTGAGAGTTTTTTTTTTCTGTGAATGCCAGTTCACAGACAAAACCTGGCTTGTTTTGTCTGTGGAAAATTCTACAGACAAAACAAGCCAGGTTTTGTCTGTGAACTGGCATTCACAGACAAATAAAACTCTCACAGACAATGGGGTGTACTGAATTGTATAAAAATGTGTACAAAAGGAATTTTTGTTCTTAAAAATTGTTTTTCCCAGGGGTGGGCACGATCCGGTCCAATATTTGATCGAACCCGTACCAGTACCGTTATTATTCAAACGGTTCGGTTGGATTCGGTCTTAGACATAAACTCATTCGGTACGGTTCCATTTTCAAACGAGACGGTATCATGTCATACCAATATTAAACAATGCCACTTTTTTAAGTGTTTAACAGAATATTATAGTGTAGCTATCCTCCAAAAATCTACACATTTTATCAATTTCATACTCCCTCCGTCCCAAATTGATATGCAAAGTCAATATTTTTTTGTCAACCAATTTTGTTAAAGTTAAATCCTCTTTATTGATCATTAATTCAATTTTTAACAATTAAAATTTACATATTCAAAAACTACATCAAAATCTCTTCAAAGTTGCAAATATGAAATTAAATATAATTAAAAATTGATATCCTAATTAAGTAAACAAAATAAAATATTTGACCAAGAAAAGTTAATTTTGCAAATCAATTTGGAACTGAGATAGTATTACATAATTAATGAATTTTAGATAAACTATAGTAGTACTAATTTAAATAATTAAATCTTACATCGATCCAATTCTAGGCTTCCTATGAACTAGCAAATGCGTTGAAAGTGTGAAATCACTAGTCAAAGTAATGTTATAAATGTAAATTTAATTAATTATAAATACTTTGGTCCAGTTCGGTCCGGTAGCGGTTCTCATTTTATGAGAACCAATCATGGCATTGTTTAGAAATGAGGTAAGGGTCAGATTAGTAATCGTAGTTGCATAAAAAGGGTCAAATAAGTCTTCATTGTCCGGTCATTGCCATTTCAGGTGGTTCCTGGTGGAATTTTTTGATGAAAATTTTAAGCATCTTATTCATCAAGTCTAGTTTATTCATACCAAATATGAGCCAAAAATTCAACCGGGAAGGCATTGATATGAATTCTTGAAGATAACAGCACTTTTAACTGAGCAGTTATCTTCAAGAATTCATTTGAATGCCTTCCCGATTGAATTTTTAGCTCAGATTTGGTATGAGTAAACCAGACTTAATGAATAAGATGTTCAAAAAATTTCGTCAAAAAATTCCACCGGGAACCATCCCAAATGGCGACGGCCTGACAAAACCTCCTATATAAGGACTTATTTGACTTTTTTTATGCAACTTCGAGTACCAGTCTGACCCTTACCTCGTTTAGAAACGGTGTGATCCAGTTCGGGACAAAAAAATTTGATATTCGTTTTAAAACCCGTTTTTCGGTTCGGTATCATGCCGGTTCGGTATTTTTTGCCCACCCCTAGTTTTTCCTCCTTAAAAAACAGAAACAAATATTAGAGTGTTTGAGCAAAAGTGTAAATGTTCTTTTGGATGTTCCAAAATGTTCCTATGAGTAGGGAGAGACCAGATTTTAAAAAATTAATTCTGATTTTATTTGTGATTTCAAAAAATAAGTAGAAGCAAAACGAATTTCAAACACCCTTATATCGGGTGTATGGTGTGCAGTGTGCTTGCTACATTAAAGTATTTTTCTAACTGATTCTAAGTTGGAGTCTAGTTGTATATGTGACCAACTGTTGGGAACAGAAAGGGAATCTGGACAACGTGAACATTATTCGGAATTGGTGAAAGAGTATCGCATAAGAGTAGCCAATGGTTAAATCTCAAATGCATCTGTAGGTAGAGCTCGTTGAACGCAAAGCATTGCGAGAGTAGGACTAGGGAGAGATAGGAGATCGGGAAAGTTGCCATTGCTAAGCAAAAGAAGGAAGAGAGATCCATACAACGACAGATATGAGATGAGAATATGATGAAGTAATTGAAGGGTCGAGAAGGCGTATCTAACTATCTATAGGTTACCATTAGGAAAAGTATTGTCACTAGTGCTGGACTCGGTTCGGGCCGGGCCTAGGCCCAGTCGGGCCTCCGGTCCTATAAAGGGGGGCCCGGAACCGGCCCGTCCTTCGCCCGGTGCCGGTTGGGGCCGGTTGGGGCCGGGTCACCCGCCTGGCCCCGGGCCGGGCCTCCCGCCGGGTCGGGTCGGGCCTAGTTTTTTTTTTAATCTTTTTAATACAACTTAAATATGAAATACATTTTTTCAAAAAATACCAATACAATAAATTCTAAGTTGTAAGTTGTAAGTTGTAAGTTTGTAACCAATTAATTAATTAATTTGAGAAGTGCTACATATAAAAAAGAATGTATATTTATTTGAAATATGAAATACAACTTTACAAATTACAATAGAGAATTGAAGGAAAAATTAAAACATGAAATACATTTTATAATAAACTGTAAAATACTAATCAATCGGAATCTCCTGCATAGGAACCACCCTCGTTTGTTGATTCATCCATAAAGTCTTGGGAAGGGGTGATGCTAACTTCTTGACATCTACGTATGGCCTTCAACGAATCGTGGTAGCATATAAGCGTCTCAAGAGACTCAGCGCTCAAACTCGTTCTACATGCCGTTAGAATGTTGCCGGCCGAACTAAATTTTTGTTCCACGGCAACTGTTGAAACCGGCATTGATAGCACTTGCTTAGCCATCCGTGCCAAAATCGGGAACATTCTTTCTTTTGACTTCCACCACTTTAGAACGTCAAACTCCCCATTTTCGTCAAATACTTTAATCAAATAATTTTGCCATTTTAAGCAACCTATTTCACACCTATTTCAATCAAATATTTTGAAAGCAACCTATTTCACACCTCTTTCAATCAAATAATTTTGCCATTTTAATTTAAGTTGACCATTGCCTCAAATACTTCTAATCCCCCTTGACTACCTCCATAGCATCTCCTAACGCTTTTATACCGTCTTGCACACATAAATTTATAATATGGCATGCGAAAAATCTACCCATCAAAGTATTAGAACCACATAATTCACGCAATCTAGGTATAGCAACAGTATTATTAGTAACATTATCAAAACCTATAGCAAACACCTTATCAATCAAATTATACTCAGTTAAAATACGTTCAATAAAAATATAAATATGTTCAGCGGTGTGACGATCATTAAATTCACGAAAAGCAAAAACACGTTTATGCAAATTCCAATCACTATCAATAAAATGTGAGTCAGGCCCAAATAATGTAAATTATGATAAGTATCCTCCCAAATGTCAGAACAAATAGTAATACAGCCATCAAAGTTTGCAAAAATAATTTGTAAGCTATCCTTTTCCGCATGATAAAGCCTTATAATTTCTTTCTTAACCGTTTTGCGACTATAACTTCTAAATTGAGGATTTAAACAAGTTTGTGCATAATCTTTAAAAGCAAGACTTTCAGAAAAAAAATAAGGCAAATTTTCTTCAACAACTAAGTTAGCCATACCTGTCAAATTTTGTGCATCAGTGTATGAGAAATTGCCAAAAGGTTGGTCATTTGCAAACCTCGATATTTGAGTTTGCTTCCCCTTCCCTTTGTCTATTTTCGCATACTCACAGAGTGCGCGGACTTAAGATGCCTTTTGAGGCTCCCGTATCCGCCGGAAGTTCCCAAGCTGTACTCCTTGCAATGATCGCAACTTGCGTACCATTTATCGTTTTTTGGGTCTTTCCTCTTTGTAAAATTATTTTCTATTATAGGAGATTTAGATTTCTTACCAACTTCGGATGGACCGCCCTCGTCCTCCAACTCTTTCTCATCATCCGGGGTGCCGTGAGTCCCGTCGCCCCCCTCGTCCTCCTCCGCATCGTCATCCTCAAGCTCCTCTTCATCAATGGACTCCGGGATGTTTTGTTGTTGGAAAAAGTGACCATCATTTTGCGC